GTAAAATGTTCATAACACAATTTTACCAAATCTCCCCCTCAATGTAAAATGTTCATAACACAATTTTACCAAATCTCCCCACTCAATGTAAAATGTTCATAACACAATTTTACCAAATCTCCCCCCTCAATGTAAAATGTTCATAACACAATTTTACCAAATCCCCCCCCCCAATGTAAAATGTTCATAACACAATTTTCAGAGCTTTACATCTGCAATTCACAACAATGTACAATATAAGTATAATAGCTCTGACATCATATGTTACAATATGTCATCATTGAGTTATTTTACACTGGGTATCTGCATCCTAACTTTTTTGAAATGTGAATTCCAAATATGGAATGATTAATCATTTCAACTCCTATGTAGATTAATAAAAATACTCAAATCTTGTGATATCAATTCATTAATCCATCTATTATCGTGGTAAGCATTCTGAAATCATCATATCTTGTTCTAGATTCATATTAGATTAAACAAGATGGGATTAGATTAAACAAGATGGGATTAGATTAAACAAGATGGGATTATATTCAATTGTATTACGTATTTATATGTATGTTACCATAGAGACTTTACTACCAATAAAAGCACATCTTCAATAGAATAGAGCAAATACTGTAAATTAAACTTCATCAACTTGTTCAGCATGCTAGTTTTCAGAAGCAATATCTGTGTTTACAGTAATTTCAAATAAATAGTATGGCATTGTTAGTACTGATTTAAGTTTTAGTCTGCCTGGTGATTTTTGGGAAAACATCACAGTTTTCAGACTTGCAGATGAATGTTCATACTCAAAACAAACTCACACACCCAATCAATAGTTGTTGAGATAATATGCATGCAGAATGCAATACAGCAAATAATGTAGATGGGATACATTTTACAGAAAATACTGTCTGAAAACTGAACATGGTTATTGAATGAATGAATTTTGACTGCAAATGATTTCAAGCTAGTTTTTGACTGTTCTTTTTTTTAAATTTAAACGGTCAGTCAGCATTGGTTTTGTGGTACATCATACACCTATGATAGTGTTGCCATCAGACTCTCTCTGTGATCATATTCTTATTTTTACTAATGAACACTGGAATATTAAATTGAATCTTTCAATAAATCTATAAAATGACTCAATTTTAAGAAATATTAATGCATCTAATGTAATGAAGTAATAATATAAGTTGATTCTTCATCATTTGTGATTACATTCTTCATATTGGCGCCATTCAGTGATTGTGATTACAAAATAATTACCTGAATAAATAAAGCAAATTAAATTACTCCATACAAAGTACATGCATCTCTTATATTGTATTTGCTCTATTTAGAACTACATATCCAGTTGAGGCAATGTGCTGCATTTGTCATAAATTATTTTTTGTTATATCACTATTAATCTTTATTGGCCTTGTATCCTTATCACAATTTTGATTCTTGTGTACTATATGAGGTTATTACGAGAATACCGCAAAGTATGCACAAAGGCAGTATGGTGATCGTATCGACAGATGTATAGTAGAGGTTGATGCATTCCCATACTGCCTGAATGCATATTTTGCGGTATTCCTAACCTTATTAAATTATACGGTACATTGTTTTGTGGCTTGTGGTGATAATTTAACATATTAATTAACAGCTCAAAACGAGGAGTGTGCTCAGTGACAGGATTCTATTTTTATCACACGTTGATGTTAGTTCTTTGTCTGAAGTAAACAAAACAAAGTGTAAATCTGCCACACAAATTCAAATAAGAACGTGTCTAAGCACTTTCAACATATTACGGACGAGTGTTAGGTGTATAATAAAATTTAAAAAAAATAAGTTAACTACAAAGTACAACAATTCACCTAGTTACAGTTGCCCACAGTCTCAGCATCTTGTCTGGGTTCAAACATCCAGATGTTACTGCATACACCCAGTTGTTATCTCATACACCCAGTTGTTACCTTATACACCCGGTTATTATCTCATACACCCATTTGTTACCTCATGCACCCAGTTGTTACCTCATGCACCCAGTTGTTACTTCATACACCCAGTTGTTATCTCATATACTCAGTTGTTATCTCATACACCCAGTTGTTACCTCATACACCCAGTTGTTATCTCATACACCCAGTTGTTACCTCATACACCCAGTTGTTACCTTATACACCCAGTTGTTACCTCATACACCCAGTTGTTACCTCATGCACCCG